TGGGATAATTTAGAGAATAGACAATAATTGGGAGAGTATCAAGACTGTAATGACAATCCGAAGCTTCATATTGTAAGATGTGACAGGCCCGTAGTCAGGTGGGAGGAGGTACGAGCAACCCCCTCCCCCTGGCCAAAAATAATTAAAAAATCATGCAGTTTTCACCATTTTGAGCACTTTTAAGTGATTTTGGCCATTTTTGGACCAAACATTGTCAAAAGTGAATTTTTCAAAAAGTGACACCCCCTTGGCAAATCCTGGTTACGGGACTGTGTGAGATGACTAAAGGAGAAAGTTGATATTTTTTCTTTCTGTTATGAGCTGATGAGCTATCTGTTCTCACGTTAGTTCATGTTTAAAGGCATTTTTACGACAGGTTTACATTTAGAGTTTGTTTTTCTTGCTGGGTTTCTTAACCGTTTTTGGTCCTCTACATTCGGCGCTTGTGCTTAGATATTCATGTTCCACTGCCGGTAAGTATTTGATCGGGGCAGGTACCGACTAATTATCATATTTGGGAAATATTACAATGTTGAAGAATATTGGATGGGAAACTACAACATGTATTAATCCACCCCCTAAATAAATTCAATAATTTACCAATCAGACATTGATATTTTGATGTCGCCCCTTTCTGTGTAAAACCTTTCCGACATCGCCTCATTTCGTGATACGTCCATCCAAATTAAACATGATAGTCGACATATGTCACATAAATAGTATCTGCGTCTTTTATATAAGGTTTCTGTTGATCAAATCCCGTATACTTAAAGATGTAAATAGTGGCGAATGATTCGGAAATGCCTTGAGTACATTGGGCAAAACTGTTTTGAAGCCATTTTGGTTTAAGCTACTGCCATCATCATGAAATATTGCACTTCTGCAAACTCTACTTTGCGGACTAATAGCACAATATACCTTATATTTCGAAATTGATTTTGAAAAGGATAGTCCATTTGCTATATTGCGTTCTGACACGAAAATTTAAAAATTGAAAATTTGAGTTGAAATTGAAATTGAGTTGTCCTCGTTACATAATCCCTCGGGCTATCTCTTCTTACAATAACAATGGCTAATGGCAATATCCCCCTGTCTCAATAATTGGATTATGTTGTAAATATTTATTTGATTAATTGATTTGATCAATTTGATTAATCTGGAAACAAGTCTGTAACTAATCTGATTCAGTTTTGCACTTTAAGTATATGATATGTCAATAGAATATTTTTAAGTTAATTTTTAATACTTTTTTAATAATTTTCCATTTGTGACAATTTTTAATGTATATATATATTTTTTTTTTTCACAGTACAAAATAAAGATGGTTGACTTTTCACCCTGTTTATCTAAGAATATTTATAAAGCCCCAAGTAATAATCAGGGTTTATTTGTGCCAACGTTGCAGATTTGGGCCGGCATTTATGGAATGGATTATGCGTAGCTGGAAATAATGCATTTAGAATACCATAAATTTAAACGTACATGTACCTGAAAATGCGGATGTAGGCTTATGCAAAATCAATTTCCTATGAGAAATGGAAAATAAAGAATCCTACTTACGTCATACACTAAATAAAATCAAAGTCACAAAAATATATATATTTAATTGAACTCTTCAAGGACTAGTATATCTGCCAATCCATCGATGTTAACCTAGAAATTACCGGCGTGTATGGAATGGGTTATGCGTAGCTGAAAATAATGCATTTAGAATACTATTAATTTTAAACGTTTCTGAACATTCGGATGTATGTAAAACCAATTTCCTATGAGAAAGGGAAAATTAAAGCATCCTACTTCCGTCATACAGTTACTAAAATCAAAGCAACAAAAATAAATATATATAATTGAACTTTTCAAGGACTAGTGTATCTGCCAGTACATCGACGTTAACCTAGAAATTATCGGGCATTATACTGAGTCAAGTTCATACATTTAGTTAGACATTTTAACGTAATCTTTCTAATCCCAATGGGAGTTTGAGAAATAAAGCACTGGATTAGAAATGTATGAGTTTTTTCCTGGGCTTCGAGGCTTTGGATAAGACACCTTGCTAGAATCACTAAAAGATGAACAGTTATTCACCTAACTTAATTGAAACATTTATATCAAATACTCATCGATGTAGAAGTTTGCACAAATATTTTTAATAAACAGTTTAAGAGACAAATTCCGATTAGGAGCATACTCATATGTCATATTCTGACTTCCTTTAAGGTCCTGATTAACAGTAAGGGTAGGAATTAAGTGGACGTGTCGGATACATGTTAATATGTCATAAATCATGTGCTATATGATAAAACTAATGAGGCAATGGGATATTCTATGTTTCGCTTGATTGTATTTTTTATTTTGTGGCTATGTTCAAGGCTATCAAGGCTATTAGATGTACGTATGATTAAATACCGTATCTTGATATTGCGCATGCGCGGTCCTGACAAAACAAGCGACATATCATGTACATGTAAAAGCAAGTTGTTATTCAAATACCAAAATAGTTTGTGCATTTAATAATAACGATTTTAGTTGTCTAACTACATGGACCTAAAGTCCCTCGTTGAAATTAAGTCAAAATAAATCATAAACATTTTTGGATCATGTCACAAAAGCAATGTCTGCATTGTAAGTAGAGAGATTTCGCTAAAAGTGGAAGCACTACATACTTAGTAGCCGAGACAACACAAGTCCGAAGTTTGTATACATGTATTTACTCTAATTTCTTCACTTTTAAGAGTCAAGTTACCACATTTTGCATGCACATTCCTTGGAGAGATCTAACATAGAATTTTAGTACTAGTGCTTTTGATTATAATTAATTTGTTAAATAATAGGAAAACATTTGATTTTGATTGGTCTATTATCAAAATTTTCCATTTTGTGCGACAGATGCAACATTTTGACATAATTAATAAAAATCCAAGTTATAAATGACAGATACAATATGGTGTATCTAATCTTATTGACAATAACTATCATCCTAGTTATTTTTTGCCAGTCATGAGTCATCAGATCATACATTGGAAGTAAGCCTAAATTGAAATTTACATTCATTGATTGTGGCAAGTAGTGAATTGTCAAAAGAGTGTTAGAATCGCACCATTATATTGCCGCATTTTGGTGCTTCTTTTCCATTTAAGGTCGTTTGGTACCATTCTGATGTCATAATATACCATCTGATGTCATAATATGGGGACCAAATTGAGGCACATGTTACAAGCTTTAAGATGATACCAAATATGTCATCATTCATTTGATTAAAATGGTAACTGGAACAAGCTCAAAAGGTATGCCCCTCCCCTACCCCATCCATTTTCAGGCCATTGAAACACGCCAAAATCTCAAATAATGCAGGCATCTTCAGGGGTCGTTTTTGTCCCGTTTTGTTTAGAATATCATGTCTCTGCATACCATTTTTCTCGGATATGTCTCAATTTCCTCAATTTCACTTGTGCTAAATAAAAAAATATTTGGTCATTTTGGAGTTAGTACACCAAAAGTAGAGACTTTTATCAATTTCGTCAAAATGTTGCACTTGTTGCACAAAATGGCAGATTTTGGTTATAGACCAATCAAAATGAAATGCTTCCCTATGTTTTACATGTAGCTTTACGATATAAGTATACGTGAATTGATTTACTTAAAGGTGTAGAAATGTGTATTCCGTCGAACAATTTTTATTTTCTTACTACCAAAAATGAATTACAAGTAATTTCTTTTTCAAAAAAACTTTTTTTATTTGGTGGATTGGGTAGTAATATTTCGTCATATACAAGTGTCCATGATCATAATTCCTTACGAACAGCTATGTCTGAATGAGATAAGTATTTACTTAATAGGGGATACTCTATATTATAAAACTCTCTAATACATGGCTAGTACCTAGCGGAAGTTTACCTGATCGGCTGGGTTAAAGTGAGTCATTAGCTAGAATCTATAAGCTCAGCTTTTCAATTCTCAGTAATTTAATCTACGTAACAAGTGAGTATTTCCATCATGAATATATCAAATTTTAATTATGACTACGCCATGGCATATCGCTGCTTACGAAACAGTATAAGAATCGCACGTAGCTATTTTCAGAAAAAATTCTGAAAAATGAAACCTATAATATGAACACGGAACTCTCTCGCTTATTTCCTTAGAGCTACTGGAGTATCCAATTATCCTGATAGCAGGTAATGAACGACAGAAACAAACACAAAATAGGCATTCGGGAGTGCTTTGAATTTATTTTGTAATTTTCAGTAATGACAAATATTCTTCCTGTGTCATTAACGTCGAAAACAGACTCCCGAAATGGCAGTAAATTTTGTAACATCGAATTGAACATGTAAGGTTGATAGACGAGATTTCATTTGTGTACGAGTTTGTGACATCCGTACACGGATAATTAAAGAGCGAATCTGAGAAAATTTTCGAGGATCGCATAGCTAGAACATTGGCATATACTCATTTACTCCCAGAGAAATTGATTTTTTAATCTCTGCAATGATCTTTAATTACTGAAAGACCTAACGTGTAAGTTACTAACATAATATTGTACTTTAAGTCATTCTCGTTTTTCCAAAATGCTACCAGCTTCTTGTATGTATAATAACGTTGGACTAAGAATGTTCGTTTAATATCAGATTTGGAAAGTAACGATTTTTTCTACTGAAGAACATCCTGCTATAGATGATGAGTTTAATTAGGGGGAAAGGCCTTGTAAAGCTTAGCCGTAAATGCAGAAAGCACTTGATCCTCGATGAGTTGAATTGGGATTGACATCTTACGTAGTTGTTGAAACGTTTTTGCCAACAAATCTCTCATTTTACAGTGTCTCCTGAATTCAATTTGGATTAGAGATTATATGTGTTTGGTGATATTTTGTATCTCCGAACAACTATAACAATATTAAGAAAAAATACTAAGATGCAAAGATGACAAGTGTTAATATACCATAGAATGAAAAAAATCCCGTTGCCAAACTTATCAAAGGAGTGTACTTTATTATTTTCCAGACTGTTGGGACGTACTCGTCTACTTTCCTATTGGTTGCCATGTCCATAGATCGCCTTGACGCGATAGCCAGTCCGATGAACTTTACAGGGAAAGGTGAGACACAATTCTTCAATTCCAAAACTATGGAGCGAACATGGCTTAATTGACATTCACCCCGAGGATGATTGGCTCAAAGGGACGATACTTTTCTACAACGAAAATGTCAAAATGTTGTTACAAACAGATGAATTGATTACCGTCATCAATTTTATAATTTGGGCTTCTTTTGTCATTCAGACTCTCAGTAAAAAGCCTTGTGCTTGATATCAACTTTAATTTATTCATTGAGAAGTTGGCCTAAGTCTTAGATTCAAACTAAAACTGTTAAAAAACGCGAATAATCCAGCGTCATGATCCAAAACTGAATCCAGCACGTCATTCAGCTTTCAAAGGAAAGTATTGAGTTGGCAAAAATCTGTTACAAATTCTTACAACTTCCAATAACTTAACAAATAATGTTTAGACTTCAATTCCTTTCAAACTCATCTACAAATTCTCAGAAGTAAAAGTCTCACTTAAAACTTGAGATTTGACCTTCAATGAACTTATCAAGGTCAAAAAGCTCATAAAAGGTCTTTTCAACTTGTTTTTTCAAAATCATTTGAAAATTCTCAGAAGTTCAAATCTGACTCTAGATCTGAGATTCGACCTTTAATTACCTTCTTAAGGTCAAAAGGGTCCTTTTTCAACTTGCTCCAAATTTCAGAAATTCCAATCTGATAAATACTTCTCATATATATCTGAGATATACTTTTTCCTCGTTCATTTCACTACCGTCCATGAATAGTACATACAGTTTACAGTAAGATTGCAGCACATGTTGCACTTTGAAACTACCAGTGTCATGTACATCAATGTTGACACTAAAAGGTATACGTTACTTAAATCAATGACCTTCATAAAAGGTACTTTTACGTGGCGCAAGTGTGGTAGCATGTATACAACAATATATGACCGGAGAAAACTTGGTTATGTAAAATATCATATTTCTTATTAATAACTATCTCGGACAATGTTTTATAGACATTGCAGCCTTCTAAACATCTCAGTTGTTGATGCAGGATTTTTATCACTTGTTTTGCAAATATGTACAGAGATTGACATAGAGAAACGCATTCCTGTTACATACTCGTTACGTAAACTAGCAATCTAACAGTTCGAGGTTGTCACCAACGGTCACGGAAACCCCCATAAAATGCTAGATACCTGTATATTGATCGTTTGACCTTGACTTATTCTTAAATTTAGGTGAACTTGTCCAAAGGCCTTAAAACGCCAAATACCAAGATATTCACCTTTGAACTCGAGAGGACCTTGACCAATGAACATTGACTTTGTCCTCAGGTCACCTAATCACTGGTCGCTAAGGGTCAAAGCAGCTCCAGGCCCCAATCTTAAATCCTAAATACCTAGATATTGACTTTTGACCTAGGATTGACCTTGTCCTCCGGACCACCTAATTATTGGTCGCCAAGGGTCTAAACAGCCCAAAATGCATTTAAGCACTAAATATCAAGATTTTGACCTTTGACCTTGAAATGACAGGTCACCTAATCACGGGTGCTCAATGGTCACATCACAGACCGAGGGTTTTAACATTCCAAATATTTAGATATTGATATGTAACCTTGGAATGACCTTGACCTGGCCATCGTAGAATGCCCATTGACCCACTTGGTAAACGGTCTAAGAGGAGATGACCGGAAAGACAGACCGACCACCGTACTTTATAGTGAGAAGAATGTTGGAAACTAATTGTAGGTAATCCATTTTTATTTAAAAACTGGGAGAAGGACTTTGGAAAACTGGCGGCTATTTTGAATATGTTTTGGTCACGAAGAACCAGTATTTCATGTAGCTGACTCTTCTTAAAATAATAATCGAGCGTCTGTATCCGCATTCTATTTCTGCTCACGGTTTGTTTAATGAACAAAATAAGGTAATCTAATCACGACAAAAACGTTGGATATATCCAATATTGACTATAGTCACTCGCGAGTTTTGTCTAAATGGCCATGTCTCGTTTGTTTAACCATTAATGGGGCTTGCGATTAGTTAAATCCCGTTTCAATCTTGAGATTTTAGCTACTTTCCCAGTCAAAAACGTCGCTAATCATCTATGTATATATATGAATAATACAACAGAAGCTTAAAAGCTTTATGAGTAATGGTTTAGAAATAGTATGTCCAAATATTTGATTGCTGCTTTACTTTAAGAACTCTTTCCTAGCTTATGTTTATTCTTTGCAATTAATGAGATATGTGATAATTTTATAAGATTGTGCTTCATATCTTTCAGTCTCATAAGCCCTGAACATATAAGCATTTCCGACATGGTTAGAAATAACATAACATAACTTTGTTTATTTTATATATCTTTAAATGTTAGTCTCAGGCATTATTGGTTGCAAAATATGGTATTAATGTATATGTAGTCAATTCACCAAGTTTTCTAATTTGTAATAAGTGCAATTTCCCTTTTAAGTTTCAACACTGGCGTCTAGCTCGGATCATATTCAGCAGCATAGTTGCCTTTTGAAGAAATGATGAAGCTGATTGCTGCGTGATCTAAGTTCAATGATATACGCTAATTACAAAAGAAATGTACCTAGGCGGATGAGGACAAAGTCATAACAGGATATTTTTATTTTAAGATGGTCACCGGATGCTTTTTGAATACGCTGCTTATAATAGAGCTTTTCAAAAAACAATGTCATATGTTGGTATGCTATGTTGTGTAATCGGTTATGTCATAGGCTGTACTTTTCAAAAATAGCAACAAATTAATGCAGTACAGGCCTATCAGTTGATCCCATTTTTGATTGGTGAAATTGCAACGAAAAATTAATTAAATCACCGATCTAACCAACTTATCATGTCCTCTTTTATGTGCCAAAAGGTTGAAGGGTTTAATAGAAAGGTATATTGGCAGACTAGTCTAATAACAACAGCACACTTGTTTTTCATACTATGACATAGATATCCCGGTTGTGTCACTCTCGAAGCCTAATAAAATTATTTTCTGATTATAAAACAGAATGTTAGTGTGCTTAATAATGTAACTCTTGATATACGGGGTGTCACTTTTGTGCACCGAAATTGCCATTTTGAGCGCAAAAGTCGGAATTGATCGCTACCTAATGAAATTACTAAAAGCTAAAGTCGTAAATAAACCCAAATGAGCATTCAGAGGGCAATATGAACGGTCCAAGACACACAAATGCGGAAATGCTTGCCAGAAAAACAAAATTAAAAATTGTGTTTTTTTCGATTTAAACAGCGTCCGGAGGGGTATTAAGAACGCACAGATAAGAAGTTATTGGCTTTCTATAATAACGTTCGCAGTTTGTCATCCAAATGAGATCTTTCCAGTCGTGAACGTTATCATGTTCGTCATGGAATGAGGACTTGAAAGTAGACTAATTGAGATGTATGTCCTTCTTCCATGACATCGCAATTTCAATAATACATTATACTCAGCCTTCAACGACATATGTCATCGTTCTTGTAATTTACTGGAGATTTTAAAATGATATACCCTTTGCATTCGTTTGACTTCACTTCTTAAAAGAGAGCTTCGTCTTCAGTTTAACTAGACTCTGCGCGCAGGGTAAAAATGATACAAGTTCAATTTAAAAATTGTTCTAAAATGCATACGAAACGAATTAAATTCAAACAATATTAAGAACTTATGAAAACCATTTAGTTGAAATGCTTAGAAATAAGCAAAATCTGAGAAATTACAGGCAAAAATATAGGGCTACATTATTTATATTTTGTAGGTTTACGAATCAAGATTCTTGTTGGGATGGCGTGGTTCTTCGGCCTTGTCTGTTCAATACCCCAAGCTGTCCTTAACAATGTCCAGGTGCACGACAGCATGGGACTCCAGTGTTACATAACAGTCTTCTCACGTCCGTGGCATTGGCAGGTATAAGTGATTTCATATTTCAATGGTATCGGCAGCATTTATTTATATACTGCATTTTTGTATGCTCCATTTTAAAAAAGTATGATGAACTACTTTTATGTTGAAAACGCGTGAACATGTAATTTGCCACGCATATGATCGTTGTTCTTTTTCATGATACCTAGGAGGGAAACTTTATTAACTATCATGCCATTGACAGGAACTTGACATTTCACGCTTTACTTATACATGTTAACGTGCCATTGACAGGCAGTAAATAGTTTAGAAGTCTATTGCTAATTTTCATTTTTATCGGTTTATTTCATTTCTATCGGTTTAGCAAGTGCAGTTTGGACCATAAATAAATGGGTAGTCGATTTTCTATCACCAATTCCAAACCATGATGGTTTAAAAGCCCATAGTTCTCAATTAGATACTCATTGCTTAACAATATTATACATTTTGTTAACTCCCATTCACTGATGTATGGCCTTTTAAAAATGGTCTTATTTTTAACATGGGAAAATCCTCACTCCAGCAAATTCACGACTCATTTATTTATTGTCCAAACTCTTCCTTGTATTTCCATAAGTACATTGCTAAAAATCAAACAAATTAAATAAGAGATATACAAAATAGTACAAACCAACCACGTCACCACCTGTTCACGATAACGCATAGCAAATTTCATTGTGGCAAAGAGCTATCTTTTCATCAACTCTAACAGATAAGCAAATTAGTTAGAGCATGATCTAGACGAATAGCTGACTTAATTATCACGATCATAGGGCTTTACAGCATTGTTTGATCAGCATGTTAGATTCACTTCTCAATATCTTAATACATCACTTAGATTGAGGTACCTCGTCGCTATTGTTGGACATGTACCAAAAGTAAATAGCGAAGCAATAGTGAAACGTCCATGGATGGAGATTTCGTAGAGTCGAGAAGAATCATTGGCGATTTTGTGAAATTTTGTGATTAATAAGATACATTGTGGTTGTGATCAATGATCCTTTTTCATGTTTGTTCTTGTTTTCAAACTTATAGAAGAGAGCGTGTAGTGTTGAACGAAGTTTGGGAGGTTAGCAAACAATGCTTTATAGTTAGGATGCTGACATTATGGCTTACCTATCGCAATCATATGGCTACCCCAAGATTACATACTAATCGAATTGTGAATCGCAGTGTGCTAATTATGCTTTTACTCTCTTGCCATTAAGCTCTCATTGTTTGATTTAAATCTATATAGCGTACGAAGGGCCTATCGTAAAGATGATGTAAATATATATTCAAAGGTTAATGTTCGTATTATCCTCTACAGTATTTCCATTGACCATTAAGTCAATTGTACAATTGTGTAATTTGAGCTTTGAACACTGAAAAATGGATTCCGAACACTTGAACTGGATACTTTAAGAAGCTTAAACGACTCGAACAAATACGTGTAGGTAGTTAGAGATACTATGTTGTTGTTTTACTCATTTAAAGAAATTATCCCTGAATTGATGGTTTAGAAAATGAGTAATCCTATAGTTTTCTCATTGAAAGATTATACCGTTAGAATTTATTTTATACCTTAAAACACAAAAGCACACTGGCTTATAACTCGCGTATAATAACACAATTACTTTTAATTATAGTTTTATTACAATTACTGAATACAATGTTTAATGATATATTTCTAGGCCTACGTGAGTGTCATCGCCGTTGTAATATTTATCGCCCCCACAATTATAATGACAGTGTGCTACACGATCATAGTCGTCACGATTTGGAATAAAGGACAACTTATACCACCGCTCCAGCAGAGAACACCAAAAGTGTTTAGAACATTTGTCAAACCAAGTAAGACACAGTTTAAGTTTTGCCGCTAAAGTTCTACATCCAAAGCAAGATTAATTAGTCCCTTTTGTATGATTCAAAACCAGGGATCCCCTTATCTACCTAAACAACAAGGGGAGGTCTATGGTCTGAAGTAATATTACCCTTAAATGTACTCCAATGCTATGCCTTAGCCCCATAGATAATCAGAGCCAATCATTTTATGGCAGCCATTGTCTTTAAATGCAACATGCAGCCCCCGTAGTAGATACATTTTCGTAAATGATAAGGGTCTATTAGGATGCTATACAATATGCTTTACAAAGGGATAGCCAGGAGGAAAAAACAAACAGATTTTAGACAAATCTAAATGTACGATGCAAAGAAGGACTTATTTAATTTCTAAATATTGAAAGGATAGGTATCGATATGGTGAACTGAATTCAACAATGTTTTTCTATTAACCAATTATTGAAAATATTCTGTAAAAAAACACGGTCCTTTATGTAATGTTGACTGATTGGCAACAATTTAATTCAAAAATTATTTATATATATTTTATATAACTGTTTTTGTTAATATTTTTTGTTTTTTAGTGCAGTTGTTTTTTGTTCCTTTCTACCAATTCTTGAGAATGAAATAAAATGTATTTTTGAACCTTGTTGGAACAAAATAGCATATACAGCATTTTCTTAGGCCTCTCAATATTATACTAATACAAAAGACATTTTGGTTGATTTTTTAAAAAGTATGCAAAAACGTAATCTTTTATTTCATTAACATGATATTTTTTTGAAATCAACCACATTTTCCTTTGTACAATAACACTATTCAGAGACCTAAACACGTTGTGTTTATGTCGTTTTGTTCCAATGAGGTTCGGATAGATGATAGATATATAATGTTACCATCCAAAAGATGACCATTAAATTGACGATGTTCAAAATTTGCAAAATGTTTTTATGACTGGTTTAAGAGAAGCGCGTGTTCAAAAAGTTCACCATATCGATACCACTCCTTTGTCAAAATTTCCAACTATATTGCATTTAGAAATAACAATAAAACAATAAGAAGTTGATATGTTATCCGATGAATGATCTGACTTCCACATGCAAAACTCCAGGAATATACATGATTAGATACAACGTTTACATTATGTCGTGAACGATATAGAGTACTACATCCACTGATATATCATGAATATTCACATTTAGAAAGACACGAGCTGAATGTAAACATGGTGTCAGCGGGAAGCCCACGACTAGGAAATGGTCGAGCAAGTTCTGAGGGACTCATACCGAAGGCCAAGATCAAGTCAATCAAACTATCACTTGTCATAGTTTTAGGTAAATATAACAGCGCATCCTAATATAAGATTTCATGATAGATTTTCCTTAATGAAAAAAGCTCGCAAAAACGAAACCAATTAACTGAACATATTTATCAAGCATTATAACGTTTGATGATCTGATTATATAGACAAGGTTTACTGGTTTATCATTATAACCTTGGCTTTATCACCTTTGGAATACATATATCACCGTTACACCAATAAATCAAATGCTCCAATGATACTATTAGCATTTTAGTCGCAGTAACAGCTTTAAGAATAGCTTCTTAAAGTTGGTATCGCTCATTTTGAGTACATATTCTTTTGTCTTTAAGCAGTGTATACTCACGTACTTATTGAGCTACAGTTTCGACAACCTTCGGTACTGTCTTCCTGAGGCTATGCTGTGGTGGCTGGGACGAAAAATATAGTATAGCCCGAGGAAGACAACCAAAGGATGTTGAAACCGTGGCTCAATAAATAAGTGAGTATACACTGGTTGAAGAAAAAAATATCATTTTCTGAGGCCCTTCATATTATATATAGATAAATTAAAGTATGATGACGTTGGTAATTTGGAATACGATGGTACTAATCGCATTGTAGAATTTACCCGATTTGAGGAATAAGGATAGGTTTTAAAATTGCCTTAAATGTGATATTTTAAGCCAGATCGGTCACATCATTCAAAACAGAACTTACATTGTGAAACCAGTGTATTTCTTCAGTCATACTCAAAATACCTTGTTGGATCAAAATAAAAAAGGACTGTCGGACCCATACAGCTCCTAAAAATGATCGAAACTACATGTAACTGCATCCGGGTCTCTTGACTGGTGCTTACGTCACATCCGTTATTTACCTTCAAACTTGTAGATTTTTTTTTATTTTGTAGTGTTTGTGTTATGCTGGTTGCCGTACTTTGTATTTGATCTCATGGATGTTTATGGACAGATTCCATTTTCTCAACAGAAAGTTAAAACCGCTATTTTTATAAATGCACTGGCACCTTTGAATAGTGCCGCAAACCCATTGATATACTGTATATTTAGTACTACTCTTTGCGTCACGAAATCAAAGTGGCTTAGGACAATATTTCCGTTTTGCTGCGAGTCCAATGATCGGGACCCGATAGAGATTGCTTTACAAAACGGAAGTGACGTTGCAAGAACGGAAGTGACGTATCTTGACACTACTTCAAGTTCTATTTATAGCAGTCCCAGTTGTGACAAACGGTTAAGGAATGGGTTTAGAGAACACGAGAACCAGATATTAATGAAACAACACTCAGCTTGAAATGCTGTGATTTAGTAAAGGAATATTCTAGTAGAGTTAGTATGGTAGAGCAAGGATGTTCTGCGACCGAAGATGTTTATATCACAAAGATGACTGAAGGATCGTCGAGGATCAATTACAATTGCGTTCCAAAAATTGCTACCCATGTGACTTATAAGATAAACAAAATATACATAAACCGGTCCAAATAAGTATAACTGGTTACAGGAGTGAAACTAAAACGTTGTTCATTGTTATTCTGATTGAAACTATATTTTTCATGAAATGTAGCTTTATCATATTTGAAAACGGTTTAACCAATTGGCGATTGTTGAACATCTTTAATAGTATCGTAGTATTCTTTTAAAAAGACCAGTAAAGATCGTATCTGTAAAAATAATGTTACGTGTATATACATATATAATATACATATATGATCTGTTATATAAATCAAATTGATATCAATGTTTTGAATATAGTTGTGGGGATATATTCAAAATATTTGACCAGTTGTAAGTATTGCTTGATGTGAATGGTAATGTATTGCTCAATCATATGTTGCTTAATAAAATAATAAATAAAATATAAGTTTAAAGATTCGAGTTTTTTATTCACCTTACTATAGGAACAGTAGGATCCTGATGTATCCAAATGATTTGGAGATAAACTATTAATGACTGATCGGGGAATTGCAGTGATGGAAAATAAGAGCGATGAAATGGTGGGACCGGGATCATCTCGAGGTAGAGAAATGGGTAGGCTATGTAAACGACGAAGGGGGGGGGGGGGAGGGGGTTATATTGTGCTGAGAGACTGTTGAAATAATCCATGTGAGTACGAATGGCCTCACTTAACCAAATCTATCTACAAATGGACAAGACTTATTTATAAACTACTAACAATATTTATATATATTTTCTAAGCAACAATGGCCGCTCTGAATCGTTCATGTCTAGTTCATATTCCCGTGGAAAATTAACTTTTTATTAAATTATACACTATATTAAGTGTCATTATACAACTGTCGCATTCTCATTGTCAAGTTTGATGTCTTCAAATTCCCTACGTCCCTCATCGGCTCCTTCATTGATTGGTTTCATAAGAAGAGTGGACCTTTGTTCCAAACTATCATCACGAGTGATTCGTCTATTTGAGTCCTGTCCTCTCATACTCCGTCTCCCTTCCTGATCCCCCGCACTTGTATACATAGTGCTGCTACCATGGTAACCGAGCGATGAGTTGTACATAGACGTGTTTCTCTTTGTGTCAACTTTAAGCGTATCGCAGCAACAGCAAAACGTGTCTATGAACCAATTACATGCCTTGATGCGCCTGGAAATAGATGGCGTGTATCTTTTTCTGATATTTGATAGAGAAAATAATATCAAAGTGATGAACGTTGATGTATTTAACTGTAAATAGTTCGATTGCTAGATTATACATAAGTATATTTATATTCAATTGCAATAAATGAAGTTCAAAGAAAGACAAAAAGAAGGACAAAACAACATAGATCCTTAAGAAGGGGACTGTACCAATTATGCGCGGCTGAAAGAAAACCTCAGGTGATTTTCGTCTGTACAATTTAAAGTGTGCGCCTGACCCGGCTACGTATAGCACAGAGTTTATACTGGCGGATTAGACTAGGTCATTTTTTATATGTGTGTGAAAGCTTTCTCTTATTTGCGTTTTTTCGTTTAGTACGGTTTTGTTATAATTGCCGAGGTCATATAACCGGGATAAAACAATGATTATCGTTGACTGCCCACACACAAAACATACGTTGAGTGAACAGTGTTATTACAAACAACAGGCTTTAGAATACAAAGCGTAGTGTGATAATAAGCTGCACACTACCACTGCTGCATGTACATATTACTAATTTACTAGGGCTCCCAAAGAGTGGATAGGGAGGATGTGTTTGTCACTTTTAAATTTTACATTTCAAAATTGTCATTTTACATGTCATAATTTGTTGGTTTCATTCGTTAAGCCAATCAAAACATTGTAAAACAATAAATTGTCTGTTACGTACAATCAATTTTGTTCAGTTTTGATTAGTTGTCAGAATAAAGTTACGTTCATCTGAATCCATGTATCAAAACAAAAATCCTATTTTCACTTCAAAATACTTCAGTGAGATGAAGGCTCGGAATTGTCACATGCAATAACTTATTGTCGTATTCGTTATTTTATCTTCTCGATAATAGCATTTAGTCGCACATTTGATGCCAGGTCACCTTGTCGCGTACCTCTTGGGGAACCCCACATTTATGTGTGTACTCATGGAAGTAAATTCCCCGGTGTAGCCGAGAGCCACAAACTTTTCCACAGGTTCGAAATAACCAATTTCTCTCATATATACTCTAAATATTTTATTATTTAGCACCTACAAAGTATTGCTAATAACCATATGTAATTTCAATAAGGAAACTTATCTGGCTACATATAAATTCAATATCAACACTAGCTGTTCTCTCAACACGTCCTGGCTTACCTTGTGGTGACAAACCCTGGGTTTTCGCTATTTATAGTTTATCAACACCTGGACGCATGCGCATTTTATACTTAATCGGGCACTTTAAGAATAAAAAATGAAGAAAAACTATTCTTAATCTTTGCTAAAAATGGAATACTTCTTATCGATTCTAATATCTTCGTCCTGTTGTCATATGTATCCCACACGTAAATTGGTACATGTCCTGAATTTGAACAGCTATATAATATATAAAACATCTCAATGCCAATATTGCACATAGACCCTTACCTTTGAATGTAGTTGATATAGTATATTTTTAAATACCCCATATGTATTCTAGATCTCATTGGCTTATTCATGGTCACATGATATGAAATAGATTAATTTAATCCCTGGAAAGTCCTTAATTCCTGCTAATAGGGAAGATGAAATGTACTAATCACCAGTTAGGTCATGTCCCGTCATATGGCCAGTCATAAGTACTTTTCATTTTCCTTTCTAGCTGGAATTATAGGAGTTGAATGGCAAAATGCCTTTAATGCCAATGAGAACATGTAAGCATAAAAATGTTGAAATTGGAAGTCTTCTCATTTTGTTTTTGTTTACTGAGTACATATGGGGTATATAATAAAACAAATAGTGACTGTTACTATGTTTATACTACTGTATGTCATGACTTTGCTTGGTACCAAGGAGATGTATGTATATTATATTGCTATAATCAATATTCACAACGAGTATCCATAAGATTGTTTATTACGGATGCGGTTTTTAATTTTATACTGAAAATACATAGAATAAATGGTTTTATGCCACTATGGTTATATTGTTTTGATAAATGTTATGACATTTGAGGTATGAATGTTATTGTGCAGCTTATTGTGTTGTTCTTGATATACTGGTCCATAGTTATTCATTTATAGACAATTACAGAGTAGGGCAGAAATTGGAACATTTTGCCATACATTGAAACGTTTTTGTTAGTCATGAAGTATCTTCAATACTTATAGCTGTATTTGACAGTCATACATGGCTTAAAGAGGTCATTTAACCTGTACTATCCAAGGGAGATAGGTTTAGCTCCTCCTAGAGATTCTTTTTTAATTGATGGAAATTACGTCGCGACCATTTTAAGGGTACATATTGTATGGTATGAACGATACTGTATTTGCAGCAGTGATGTTTTAAGCAGAGAAAATTTGAAAATTGTTGCTGATTTTTGCTGATTGAACTGCAATAATCAAGAAAATAAATGTTCCAATTTGTATAGGCCCAGCCTGTAGTTATCGTCAGAGGTAACTAATTAACACTCACACGAAGGGTAAGTGTAAACAATTTTTGGAACGTTTCGGATTCATGTGAATAGAAACTATATGATTGATATGGTTTGTTAGTATAAATACACAGTGTCTAAAACACGCATGCTCGTTCTCGAATCTTGATGAGTACACGGTGATATTATCTAAAGAAACGTTACAACTGTATCTGCATGACATCTATCCTACAATGCAAATTTCATTCCATACATGCACTGATATCCTAAATAAGCAAACAGCATTTATATTATAGGAATATCCTATGGTTTTGAAAAAATATCATTTATATCCATGAATGGATATTGATATCTTCATGAGTGAGCGCAGCGAATGAGTGAAGATATTTGTATTCATGAGTGGATATAATTGATATTTTTGAAAAACCATAGGATTGTCCGTTTATCCCATGGAAAATCATCATCAGCGAAAAAAGTTGAAAAATATAATTTGAGAAAAATTTTGAAAAAATGAAAAAAAATTGAAAAAAATGTGAAAAAATGTTGAAATTATTTTTGAAATTTTGAATTTTTTTGAAATATTTTTGAAAATAATTAAAAAATGTAAAAAAAAATTGAAAAAATTCGAAACCATCGAATATCACTTTTCAAACCATCGAATATCACTTTTCAAACCATCGAATATCACTTTCTAAGACGTGATATTCGATAGTTTAAAAGTGATATTCGATGGTTTGTGAATTTTTTGCTAAAATATGATATCTTGATCCACATATCAAATATATCTTCATGTGATATTCGATCTACATCCTTGCAACCATGGGATAATAAACAATATGTATATTCTAATTCAGATGATGTATATGCATTTAAAAATGTTACAATTATAACCACATATTGTAAGGTATGTGTATTATATAGGTTGCGTTGTGTTAGGCGTGGTGTGGGATTTGTGAATTTAGAAATTAAGGCATAAAATCATCTGGGCCAAATGTTTCTTGTATTGGGGTAAGGGCTAGAGGTATGTGAAAAGATATAACGGACATGCAGAATATAAAATACAGGGTATCCTGGAAATAAAGATACAGTTGCTTCATATATTAATAAATTTAAAGATGCAGTATACTGGTCATTTTATTTTTACAGGAGTCATCAATTACAGTGTATCTTGGTGAACAATCAAAAATGATAAGCAAATGACAATCTGCTCAAATAAAAAAGTTAGATTCAAGTAAGGGCATTCAGAGCCGGTAAGTTCCAAAACAGAAAACCAGCCCTAGTTAACAAAACCATTGCGATTGTCCAATCATGGTTTTGAATCTATTTCTCCAGTCTATCCTGATAAAGGTCATCGCCGTTCGTTCCGTTTAGTGTAATGTATTCCCCGGATGTGTTCTAATACTTTAGTGGACGCATTCCAATAACGATAAATTACTTGTAAATCTATTTCGGGAACACCCTATGAAATTGATTATTTGCTGCTAAAGCTAGATCGCACATGCTTCCATGCATCTAATTCTAAATGAACGAAGGATTAACAATGCAGGTTACACGCGTGTGCAGTGGAAGTACGAACGGTACTTAAATGCACGAAACTGCTTAAAACAAATCATACCGGATTTAGATACAAGTGGTATTAGCAAGCGTTAAGTACATGACATGACTGCATCTCTCAAAATATGACAACCTTCACACAACTGTGTAGAAACCATGTCGACAAGGAACTTATTTTAAGTACCTGATGTGATGAGTGTACACTGCTAAATTAAAGAACAAACGCCCCGACAACAGAATTCTGATACGGCGACATACTCAACGGTGACCCAATGTCGAAGTGAATGGCGTTTTGTCCCTGAAAGTCTTGATCATTTCAAATCGTAATTCCTACCAATGGCTAAATATGATTTTGATACCCACCTTTGAACTGATATAAAACAAAGGGACACAAGAAGTAAGACATTTGATTTGTAATTTTTTCCGAGTAACACTTTTCCTTAGCTTGTTCCATAGTTAAGGTTATATAGATGTCACATGTGGGTGTTTTTTGTTATAAGTCGCAAGTACCAAAGGAATTGTTCTTGTACTGTAAATTCGCAGGGTAGTCGCGATTCGTTCAGTGGAAAAGCTGCGCGCGCACGCCCATATACGTGAACGGAAAAACTCAACAATCAAACCCAATACGATTCAATCGGAAAACATTGAAATATTTGGACTAATCATGAAAAATACAAAGATGTTAAATCCCAAACTCCAAGTACAACGGGTCAGCTCAGAGTGTCAATAATCACAAAATGTCAAATATTTGTGGTGAACCAGATAATTTCGTCATATTTTTGTTAAAACTCCAACTTTTGATAAAAATATAACTTTTTTCTTCTACCTTTTCAACGGCAAAAGAGAATTTTTAACAGCGATAATATAACCAAAACAAGGTGGAAATAAAGAGTCATAAACATAGACATCGACATGGGGATTGGTATTTCCTCATTTATCTCAGAACAGAAGGAGCACTTTAATGCACATCAAGAAAGATGCACTTACACATAAGAGTAGCCAAAAGAATTGACTTAGGATTATTATTACACTTTACGAACGATTGTAAGTTGGCAATCGACGCACTTTAAGAAAATTTCATTTCTCTTACACCGCAGTCATGTCATGGTTTATGAATATATTAGGAAGCAATCGAAAATAAGGGAAAACTACACCAAATACCTACATGAATTATTTGGATAACTTAAAATTCGAGTAGTCTCTCTTACTTGGCGTCTAGTATCAGTTGAACATATAACCTGGCATCTACAATTAAGCGGACAATGATACACTCCCATCCATCAGTTTAGCAACCGAAATATTTTTACGGAGTTTCTGAAAGCCTGTTAATGGCTCGTTTTATTAATTACAAAAATAGTAAATTGATGGCAAATGTTATGCTATCCTTAGATTTCCAAACAAATGGTCTTCGATGAGGGATACAAACAGGAACGTACGGTTATGGAGGGGAGTGTACAATTTTTTTTAATGAAGTTACGTGTGTTTAATGTACAAAGACAGCCAAGCAGCAAATTCAAATTATATTATTTCACCTTTACCCCAATACAACGGGATTTAGTGATTGCGCTAGGCCTAGTAATTTTGAGTACTTTATACCCAGGTCACTTCAAAAAATGGGGTACAAATACTTGTTGGGGTACTTTTTGAAAATCGCCGCAGCGGGCTCTTGTGGTAAAAACATTTTCTATCACAAAAAGGGTTATCATATTCACAACTTTAGATATTGTCATTGGCTTTCCCCATAAGAGGTTAAAATCTCAATTGCATTACAACAAAATGTTAGAACGAGTTCAGAGTACAAATTACATAATAATAATAATATTATTAATTATGAAGATTTTTAGTTATAGAAACTAGTCAAAAACGACATCTATATGTTATACCTAGTGGAAAGACTGAACAGTAAGTATATGACTATTCAGATGAAAATGAAAATAATATATATTAAGTATTATGAATGGATGAATGATTGAATAATGAAAATGATGAAAATGAGAATTCTTAAGTCAAAAAGAAGATTTGTCAAGAAAATCAACAAGATGGTTGAATATCTACATAATTCACAAATGAAAATAATCCATCTGCTACAATAAGACAATAGTAATAAATCATCGAAAAAGTATTTATTTATGTAAATCTAGAAATCTATTGATTCCACAATACCTTCATCAAAGTTTATTGAAATGATCTCAGATTTGTGGCGGTATATTACCTGAGATTCCTACAGATTCTTGAACTGAATAGGCCATATATCAAGGGGTTGGCTGCGCTGTTGAACGACGATAGACTCTGTACGAATATGGAGACTTTTACATTGGATGTGTAGCCAAAGACGTCAAGAAAATTGTACACAAAATAAGGCGCCCAACACACAATGAATGCTGAAAATAATCCAATAACAGTTCATCTTAAATTATGTAATACTAAATTGTTTATCTATCATTCGCATTTTTTCTTTTCATGGGGAGTTTTTCTACGAGAAATTAAAATTAAAAAGAGAGTAAAAGTGTAATTCTCGATTTCCACATTCTTGTTGAGTAGACCAATCAAATTAAAGATGCTGGTGAATATCAAAAACCTTTGAAATGAGAGCATTTTCCTTATTGAACGACCTGGTTTATCCTTTGATTCGGATATATTGATGACTAGTCAAAAACTGCATCGGTGTACAGGGTTACACCTAAAAACGTCACTCTCAACTTTAGGAATAACTTTCTCAGCTATAAAATAATCTTTATGATTTTTAGTGTAGAAGAATTGACAATGCATAAAACATCGATGTACTTACATATACGTAGCATCAATGTGGAGGCATTCTCGGACGCCAAACCATAAAATCTAAGTTAGAATAAGTATTCCTTTCTTAAAATATTCTTAAAGAAAAAAAATCATTACGATTCCATCATATTTGACAAAAATCATTCAAAAACTAAGAGCGTAACGTTTTTAGGTTCACTTTGTGCATGGATGAACAATTGGTGCATTAATGACGTGATTGGTATGTGAGTGCCCTCCTTTTTTTAGAATGACAAACGCGTGGGCTACTCATATGTAATGTTTTTCAAAATACTTTACCTATTACGATGACTAACGTCATCTTGATTGTTCTAATCTTGGCTTGTGGTATTACCCCTCTATTACTGGATGAACTCGACGTCTTCGTCGATGCTGTTCCATTTGAAGAACCTACAAAATGCGTATTTATCATGATTTTCTTTATATCATGCTGTATTAAGCTACCCCCTGTTGTTACCTCAACAATCTAATTATTGCAGTAGTTCAAGTATACAAAGTGGTCCAATAAAAATACGTTCGCCTTCATATCCGTGCTAACTTTATTATTTTTAGATAATTATTCATAAAGCCATTTTTTCATCATTTGATTTCGAATATTATGATATTTTAGAGCTTGCATATTATACAAAATGAGAAATTAATAAGAATTTGCCATACGGTTATCAACCTGTATTCTGACCTTGAGTATTATGTTTGCAATCTTGTTTGTGTCAGTCACGTATATTCAATGAGAAGTATGGACTGATTTGAATATGATGAACATTAGCCAAAATGAAAAAGTACATATCATAACTTAGTGTTTCTGAGAGATTTAGAAAAAAGTGCTATACTCCAAAGTGTGTTTTGGGGTAAAAATCTGATTTAACTTAGGCTTCAATGAAATAGTGCCACGCCCATTTTTGATAAATATTGAAACTTACTCTTGCTTTTAAAAACCGCACTAGCATATGGTGTTAAAAAAAGTTTACTATCCTTTGTGGCATCGCAAAAATCCCCCAAAATACTCTTGTTTAGGAAACGTTAAATACTCCTTTGAAAATGTTTAAACCTCCAGTACGAGTATAAAACCTAGTTAAAAACAAAGGTGGTCACATTTGCCTCTTCCTTTCGGGCGTCACACTTTTTCAGAGTTTCTTGACAATTCTTAGATATCTAATAACCCACCATTTTGTAATTTCCTTATTGACCATCCTTTTGATGACGTTTTTGTGGAACGCTCTGTCTGAGGTGTTAATGCTTTTGACTTGCTCCAAACCACGTAGACGATCACTATGTAACACATTGTAACAATCACTGCTGGGACGATGAAAATGGCCACAGCAGACAATATGAAATACAGCTGAAAATTCAAATCATCGTAAGAGTTTATTTTTCCCGTATAACTTTTGAAGGGTTTGGTTACGTCATCATTTATTGCGCAGCTCTATACGTCCATACTCATGACGACGATTTTTAAGACTCTTGTGGACGTACAGAGCTGCGCAATAAATGATGACGTTATCAAACGCTTCATAAGTTATATGTTATATGCAGGAACAATACAGATGCTATAAGTGAGTTGCGAAATCTCTCCATCTTATCAACACGTTTACCAATGATACACGGGTACATGAGATACACGGGTACTAGACAGCGTATGTACGAGTACAGTACCTATCGCCTGTAAAGTGCTACATTTTTAGGGTGAATTTATAACATTCATATATACCATTTTGAAATCAATGGATAATCTATTTTATTGTTCAATTATATATTATACCTTACAATGTATGTGAATTATCATATAAGAAAATGAATAAGTGATACACGTTATACTTTTTTTATTTGTCCGAATGACCAGTTTGTTAATCCGTTCATAGTATCGTGTTACCCTTTTCTCGCCATTACTGACTTTTAATATTTTACGTAACTTGTCAAACTGTTCTCAATTCATCAGCAGTAAATGGGTTTTCAGTTTATCAGCAGAAGAGGGGTCTAAAAGTCATAGAGCTCTCATAATTCATTTGTCAGACTGTTTTCAATTAATCAGGCACTGTTTTCAATTTATCAGTAGAAGGAAGGGGGTCTAGTCTAATAAACCCATGACGTTGTCAAACTGTTTCCAATCCATCAGCAATATAAGGGACTAGCCACACAGCAAAATGCATGGCGATTTTGACTTGTATCTATGTGCTCTGGTGTGTCTGAACGTTAACATCAGCTGCCTCTAGTCCGATCGACTAACAAAACAACCTTTTTGGGGTTGTCGAGTTGGCCGAGAGGGCTTGAGTGCTAGCACGTTTAGGCTAGGCGATTGGGGCCGTAATCACGAGGTTGCGAGTTCGAGACGCGTGTGCTCCTTGCGTTTATTCATCCATTTCCCGAAAATAATATGTGAGAAATAAATGAAGAAACATACCTTGATTTGCCATGTCTTGGTTAAGGTCATACCACAGACTGATATACTCCAGTAGGTATAACCCTTATATAGGAAAAACTGTGGTAGGCTGAACACAAAGGATATAAACCAGGCAAGGAATATAAGAATCTTCGATCGCTGTCCTAAAGTAAAAATATTAACTTACACTCCCCTCCATAAGTTTGGCAACCTTTTTTCCCCCATTGAACTACGTGTTAAAGCCTCTTGACCTTTGAATTTTTATTTACCTAACCTGCGATGAAAATACTTATACTATTGATGGAAACGTAATTTGACTTTATTTCCAATACCTCCAAATTTTCACAATTTTTTTCTTCAATTACAATAGGTCGAAAATTGATGATAAATTTGATGAATTTTTGAAAATCGACATTCCCATGTTAACCAATGGGAAATGGTAGGTTTGCCGCAAGTCATATGACAGAATATCCATTTATCCGAGTCCTTGCAAAAAATACGAGTTAGGCAGGCAATTTATTTAACAAAAAATTAATATGTTTCTTCAGGTTCAACAAAGTTATAGGGCTTTAAAGTCAAATTTTTTTTTCAAAAAACCTCTCCCATTGAAATAACACAGGAGGCGAAAAGGTATTTTCAAAAATGACTTTGAAGCGCTGTAACTTTAATATTCATCAAATAAATTAAACACTTAGTGTTCAAAAAAGTTAGACAATTCAATTTTCTATTTAAAACTATTTTTTGCTGAATCTTTTACTGAAAAGATATCCTGATTTCTGATTTGCCCCGAACCCTCCATTTCCCATTGGATTATATGGGAACGACGATTTTCAAAAATTCATCAAATTTATCATCAATTTTCGACCTATTGTAATTGAGGAAAAAATTGAGAAAATTTGGAGGTATTGGAAATAAAGTCAAGTTACGTTTCCATCAATATGAAAAGTTATTTCGTCGTCGGTAAGTAAATAAAAATTCAAACGTAAAGAGGCGTTAACACGTAGTTCAATGGGGGAAAAAAGGTTGCCAAACGTATGGAGGGGAGTGTATCTCAGTGATGTGTAACTGTTTAAGGAAAATCTTGTAAAAAGATAGATACACATGCATGCAGCCGGGCATGAGGCCAACGAAACTGCATCGACAATATTTATCAGAAAAATAAAAAACAAGTTGGTCAGTTCAAATGAATATATGAAAATGAAGTCTTCGTCTCTCTTATACTTAGAGTTATCAATTAAATATGAACCTAGTATGAACCTAATGAATATAATATTAATGAATATAATAATAGCAATGAGAAAAAATACTAAGCTTGTATTCGCAAATGCAACTAACGCCCGACGGCTACCGGATTAACCTTATTATATGGGTAACTCATTTAAATATGAATTGTACCTGCCACAAAGCCATTCATATCTAAATGAGTTGGTCATAAAATAGTAGGTAAATCCGGTAGCCGACTTGCGTTAGTTGCATTTTCACGAATGCAAAAAGCGGCTAACGGCTCCCATTCATATTTAAATGAGTTGGTCATAAAATAATAAATTAATAAGCTTACCGCTAGCCACGAGTTGCATTAGCAAATACAAGCTAAGGCTGTATCCGCGAAAGCAACTACCTGTTACCGACTGCCGGTTGATTACAATTTCATGACCAACTCATTTTAATATGAATAGTATCTGCCGTGTATCCCGGAGGCTGTAAAATATCGAATCAAACTCAGTAACTGACCTAAATAACGGTTAAATCTTCTTATTCAAGCAGTAACTAACACCGACTAACGATGTGTTTGGTAGTGTAAATAGCGAGAGTTCATTTCGCCCGTGCGCATAGACGCAAAACACGTTGAAATGGCATAAAAGTCACGTGATCACTGTTAGTTGACAAACCGGTTGTTCGTTCAAAATTATGTTTCATTTATTTAAATACGTATGTCAATCCAGCAGCCGGCAGTTGCATTTGCGAATACAAGCTAAAACTCTAACAAGAAGGTTCGACAGCCAGAATGCAACTTCGATGTTTTTCAACAAAGCTAGCGTCATTATTGTCTCACATTTATCCGGCAATAAATTCAAAATCAGCAATCAAAAGATTTGAACCAGTATCTTGATCGCTTCTTATGTTAGAATTTTTGGTTAAAGTAGTCAGACCAAAACTCGTGATTCAAATTCTGAGGTTAGAAAAATTGAGAAACGACGATTGTTGAATGTTGCATTTTCAATACGGCAATGATGCCCATTTATGGCAAAATATCGAAGTTGCATTCTGGGATCCAATTCTCCTTTTACCATAATGAACTTTAACGGAATGAGTATGAAGCGCTGAGTTTCTAGAAAACTTAATTAGCTCACCACTTCTCGAGAAGTTAAGAGGTCTGGCGATCGCATCCAATCTGTCAATACTCAATGAAACCAGTACGAAGGTAGAAGCATATGACACAAGCACCTGCAACGTTATTACACAGAACGAAATGATTAATTAATATTGAATGAAATGATTAATTAGGGTCTTTTATTCCCGGGGCATTGGAAAATAAGTCAATCAGCGGCATCAGTACAAATGTAATTAACTGAAATACTCAAAAGGTTGTAAGTTATTGCTTAATAGTTTTTCTGACAACCGCTCGTTCCAAAGTAATTATTTATTTGGCAAAGTAACGTCAAAACACCGAACTGTGAAATATTGCGCCTGTATCGGCTAATTAAGGGGTAATGTGATTATCGAACGATTTTTTTCATTTACCAATTAGGATAGAAAAGATGGACATTCATAAATAACATTTAGATGCTGACCGTAGTAATGATCTATCGGCCTGCAATTTACACCCCCCAGAAGTTTGGGTATCTAAGTACCGTTTTTGATCACTCATTCAACCTTATTAACAGTTGGCGATTTAAAAAGAATCAAAATTGTCATTTTCTGAGATCTTGTAATAAAACAACGTTACAGAGAGTTATTATTAAGTTATTAACACACTATTAATGAAAACTTCTGGTCGCCAAACTTATGGAGGGGAGTGTAAGTTACTCACAAAACATACCTTTAGAAACTGCACGAGTTTACAGGTGACATCCCCCCCAATCCATTCAATTGAGTACTTTTGTCCCAAGTCGGATGTGACGTGAAACAATCCAACAAGTAGATCTGAAATTGTCAAAACTGTTTAGCAATCGACATTATTAAAAGCGCCTTGTCGTAAAATTACTGATCTATTAAAAAACGTATGTAGATGTTTTGTTACATTGCTCGTTAACAAAATATTTACATGTTGCTCCTCTATTTGTTATAAGTTCACCATATTATTAGGCCACCGTATAAGAAAGATAGGTGTAACTAGGTCCCTAGAAAACGGTAAATTGTGGGTGTAACAGTAATCTACGGCTCAAAATATTACACGCCAACTTAAACTCCCTAATATCGGTATTTATTGAACATCTCTCGTAAGTTGCTATGAAGCAAGATAAAAGTGAAATGGTGCCTAACTACTTCCTGAACTGATTGTATGTAAGGTGCAACTGATCCTACATCAAGAAAACTAAGTTAACTCGATTGATATAACCTAACCATTTTAGATGCAATCCCTATGTGAAATAATGCTTCAGTCGCATTTGATCCACGGCAACCGTACGGTGGTCGTAGCTTCTCAAGCGTGAAATATAGGCATAAGTAAAACAATGTATATTTTCCATATCAATTTTTTGAAGCTACGGCCGCCGTAGAGCAAATGGAATCGAGGCTTAAGGATGTTCCCTGGTCAGATAGGAAAATATTCAATAGTATTTAACTTTTTCTCAAAAATGGTTTTCTGGGATTCTCACGGGCAACAAAGAATATTAAAACTTTAAAAACCATATGTTAGTGTGCTTTTTTCTGAGCAAGAGGCCTCTAAAGTGTCAATATTTGACAAAAGTGGGCGTGGCACTTTCTCATTGAAACCCATGTTAAAAATCAGGTTTTCACCCCAAAACACACTTTTGAATATTTAACTTTTTCTTAAACTCACAGAAACACTTAGTTATGCTATGTACTTCACATTTTGAAAAGAAAAATTAGGGGTTGGTGTTCATCGTTTTCAACTTCGTCCAGGGAACATCCTTAAAAGGCTCGCGCAGGACAGGAGCGATAAATGCAAATTGATTTAATACACGCCTAGGTTCTTCCAAGACAAGATTTGAATATTTAAGATAGTGGTTTATACTACTGTTTTACTAGAATGCAAATGAAAATGACTTAAAATTATTCGACTTCATAGTTGCAATAATGAATCGCGAAAATCAATTCAGGAGAACATTTGCAGCATATTTTATCTGAAATATAATATTTCGCCAAAATATCAAATTGGATATAACAATTAGTGTAATGTATCTGAATCATGAAATATATCTTATATTACGCTTGACTTCAGGAATCATCAGGCCATGGCGTTATAAGGAATCATAATAACATTTTACATAAACGTTTCAATTAATTGGCTAATGAATGAGATTATTACCCGTGATCTGACTTCCAGGCAAAGGTTACGCGTCGAATGCAACCCTCTACGGGCCATTTAACATAAATGGCACGAGTCCTAAATTTGATCTCAATTTTTCATTTTCTTATTATCGCTTTAATATAAAATGGAAATGAAGTAATATTATATTGAAAGAATCGACGATCTAATAAGTTAAAAATGGAAATCGTACATCCAGTATTCCAAGATATCCTTTATTACTAACGTAACGATTGTGTGAGTGTTCGAACATCGTGATTAAAGCGAAACAAATCATGTAGATTGAATTCATTTTGCGTACAATGAACGTTCTAAATTTAATCTGAATCAAGCAATACTTCAGATTAATGGTAAACAGTAAATGTTTACTAATAGCTAAATTGTTGTTTGAATCTCTTCGAATCCAAGTACGCTGGGATAAACAAAAGAATGAAAACCTTAAAACCTGTTTATATTTTGCGATTTTAAGAAATTAGTCAAACTCATAAATACCAAAACTATTGAAATTGACGTACATACTTAAGACTCAAACATCCTGACAGGTTTTGATATGCTATTCAATAAAAACCTCCGGTAGCCAAACTTATGGAGGGAAGTGTATTTTGAAAACTACACTGTATACATCCACTCCGGTCAAATTAGTTCCGATTCTAATTGAGAAAAAATCCCGTATATTCCATAGGGATCGATCATTTATAAATGTACTGTTCGCGTAGACAGAATGAGTGAGGTCCCGTTCAATCAGATTTGGGAAACATACCAAGGGTAAATCAATTTGGACCCAAGGGTCACATCTGTCTCAACACAGTTCCTTTTTCGTTAGTGAATACTGATTAATGGAATGATTTGCTAAATGAGTTGTGAAGATACTGCAAATAATATCCGTATCGTATAAAAGAGCAAATGAAACCATAGTCAAATCCGGAAGTCCGACAACATGAAGGATATTTTTGTTGAATTTTGGTGAGCTAGCCTAATTGTACAGGGTGTCACTAAACATGCCTCTCACTTATTTTGGAATAACTTTCTCAATGATCTAGGAATCTTCATAATTTTTAATGGGTAGATTGTTCAATGGACAAAAGATTGGTATGCTAGCATAGCATTAACAACTTTGAATTTAGGAAATATATCGTTTTTCGCAGAGGTATGCTCTGACACAAAATCATCAAAATGTAAATTTGAAAATCTGTCTTTTTAAAATGTACACAACAAAAGAATCAGTTCATCAAATTGCAAACATACCAATCTATTGAACACTCTATATTCAAATGAAAAATCATGACAATTCCTTAATTCGAGAAAGTTATTTTGAATTATTGGGTGGCATTTATTGTGTCACCCTAAAGAAAAACAGTTAAGTTATCTAAAGCATAATTATGTCACTTGGTCAAATTAAATGAATTAATCCAATCAAATTTAATTTACCATTAATTATCATTAATTCTCTGGTCAGGAGAGCCAATCGCTTTTGCAACGGAGTATGCACAGACTAAATTTAAATCCTTTAAAAATAACCAAAAATTCAGATATCCTATAATCGATCCATTCAATAAACAACAGGCATTATCACTCTAACCACCAAATTGTCCAATGTAGAGAAACGTGACACCATCTGTTTGAAAATGACTATGAACTAGCCTAACGAAGCATTATATATGCAACGTCTTGGAATCAAATCTAGTTCAAATTTCAGACAGAAGCTTTCTGCCTCGGGTACAAATATTGAAACTGAAGGAGCAATGCTGTTGAAACTGCATTGTTACTTTCCATAGTGGGTCTAGAGAGGTAGGGACAACTCAAACACTTACCTGCAATTGCAAGCTGCATGATGAAAAAGTTCATCCGTGTTTTATTCTTTGAAAGATAGATGGCGACTAAGACAGCTGTATTTGCAACGACGATAAGAATGACGAGGATGACCAGAAAAGCTTTTTGACCATCCTAAAACAAAACAAAATACAATATACAATATATATTTCGTTCTGTGGCTGTAGATCAGTCTACTATACCTCGCATTTAGTGTTCATGAGCAACCAATTTGGCTTAATAGTTATGATGATGTTATTTGTTTTTATTTGTCTGTTCCTTATGAATTGTTTATCGGAAGACTGATAGATATTGATAAGGTACTTGCAAAATATACTAAACAATTCAATTAGAGTATATTAAACTTAAACAGAGTATCTTATGCATTTCAAGGGGTTAGGTATTGTAGAGTGAGATGTACCTCGCCTCCATACGTTTGGCAACTGGACGTTTTTTATTTTTATAGTACAGGGTGGGCAAATAAAAGTGGGACATTTACATATATCATATTAAAAAAAGCAGATATGAACCAAATGTCATGAATTTTTTTTTCTTTAAGCACCTCCACAATCTCCTTAGTTTCAAAAATGAGATTTTGTGAGCATGTGTGACTTCGTATCTAGAAACTAACATAAATGAATGTGTTATATGAATTGTCAAAAAACTAAATTCTTTGTGAATTGTGACATTACAATACAAACTACCACAATTTCTACAACATTCAAAAGGAAGTTACATACTATTGTATCTTATGATATGGATAAACTATGAGTACTGGGTTCTAGGAGGAATAATAGCCGAGGGCCTTGGCCCGAGGCTATTGATTCTCCTAAGATCCATTACGAATGGTTTATCTAACTTAAATCCCACACTGACTCTCATGAAAGGCAACTATCCCATTTTTATATATTTCCCATCCTGTATGCTAAAGCCTTAGTTCGGATATCACCTAACAAAAGCACTATACGTTATCACGGGATCGAGAAGCTATACCTCTATACTCGTACCTCTATAATATCTCAGACCATAATATTGAGTATACATGCATTGTACCAAATGCACCTCAATATTGTACCTCTATAATAACACTATACGTTTATAATTCAAAAATAGCCTGCCTCTGGTAAAGCTCTATACTATCTAGTTGTCATCTTTAATCCTTTATTTATCAAGAAGTAGCCGATAGCAATCCCTAAACACACAATTTCCCTTTGTAATTATCCTTAAACATACAATTTACTCCGCAATAATTCCAAAATAACATGGCGGAATGACAATACACAATGGCAAAAAGCTATGAATAGAAGCAAGATCGTATTTAAAAAACAAACAATTTTAACTATATAAGTGAGCCTGCAGTGTGTCATATGGGACATATAAAGAAAACTCTGGGATAATACAAAATGCGAATAACAACGGAGATCAGATAGTGCTTACAACAGTAATTAAACGTGAACGCCGGGTGTTGGGTTTAGCTTGGGGTTCATTATGACAATATAGGAAACACAATGGTGTGATATGATCTTACAAACTATGTTAAGTTATTATTCTTTGGGAAGAACACGTTTATTCCGAGGCTAAGGAATTAAGTAACATTATATAAAAGCATACTCCACGATATAATACGTAATTATTCGTAGAGTCTGTTTAATTAAAATCCCATGATATTGAGAATACCAACTGAGTTTGATAATTGGGTATTTTCTATTCAGTAAGTTTATTATAGCATATCTTGAAACTTACCTCAATATTTGGTCTCATTCTAAATGAGTGGATTTACTAGAGATATAGAACCCATCTGATCATTCCCTTAAAATTGTACATAATGCGATGTGTCGTGAATCGTTGGATACCTGAGTACACACCTCTACATAAGTTTGGAAAACGAAAATCCTATTTTGAATCAATTATCCAAGCCTAAATATGTTTGGCGATTAAAAAATCTTCAAATTTGTTATTTTTAGAACTCATGTATGCGTATTTATAATGTATGTGTATACAATTTGGATCCAAACACCACCAGGCTTTGAAATATTATCCAATAAAAACGTACGTTTGCCAAACTAATTGTAGGGAGTGTACTTCTCATATACTCACGCCTGTATCCACATCCCGTCGTATGCGTGTTAGATTCTCTTACAGTCAAGGGGTTAATATGCTCCCTGCTTTAGGACAGGTAGGTTTTTATTCCGATTTTATTGCATTCTACGAGCTCTATCTACGTTTTATGAGGATTCTATGATATGCGGGTGACTATATAATGAACAGGGGGAGTTGTAAAGAACGACGTGGGTTAGGATTTAAAGCAATGAAAAATGTCACCTAGTTCGCAAAGAACTTCAATAAGTGATTACGAAGGTACTTGCATACACTCCCCTCGATAAATTTGACAACCGGAAGTTGTATTGGATAGCATTATGAAAGTTTGAAAACGTTTGAATCTTTAATATGTGGTCAATAATCAAAAGTTCGGACATTTGCGACAAATTCGCTGAATATATATTTACAATGCATAAACAGACGTTAACATGCGTTCAAGTGTGTAACTTCCGGTTACTAATTTAAGGAGGGGAGGGGGAACACAATTTTATGGAGGGGAGTGTATATATCTATAACTATAAATATACCACATTCGACTTCCGCATCGGTTTCGGTAACACGATGACGGCCATAACTGTTATCCGATTCCCATGTTGTAAAGTCATCAAATGTTGGTTATAATGTATACCGTAGTGATAGCAAATTAATGATTTTAGGATAAGGCAGCGTCGTCTAGATCCCGTTGGTGCTACGTGAGTAATAGTGGTAATAAAGATAGTAGAAGAGATACACGGTTTACTCCGAGTTCTAATCACACAAATCAAAGCCTTGCCAAAAGCTACAAGTTCATCCAGTTATTAATTGTTCACTTCAAATGGTTTCTCTTTTGTTCGGCTTCTTTATGCTTTATAGATTGATTCATTAATTTGAAAGCCGATGACCGTTGTTCGTGTTATATGTCTTGGACCGCGATGTAGTGTTTGATTGACAATGAGGGATGCATGCCCGCCATATGTTATTGTATGTAAGGGTGGTAATTGAGCTAGGCGTAATCAGTGATTTTTCACTAATACCAAAACAAAATATCCTCATTCTGTAATATATGGGATAAAATACCTACAGCGATATGGGGATCATGAGTAGAAAGTAAATTACACATTCGATCCATTATTTAAAAAACAAAGCCAATAAATCAAGTTATTCATGTAGCGATGTTCAATGCGTAGGATCACGGCCTGACATATTGGGTATTATTTTTCCAAATGAGTGATTATACTCTTAAAACTCGTAGAACAAATCTACGGCAGTTTTCTTCAAAATCGAAGCGCTATCGTGTCAAAATCATTATCTTATCTTGATACTAGAATGACAACTCATATAACTGAAGGATACCGGAGATTTCTCATTTTAAAGCTGATTATTGCTATGTGATTTGAATGGCTTCTCATTTAAGATTGTGAACTGACCTCGATGACATCATCAAAAAGTGCGCATGAACCCCTCGGCTCTTTTACACTGCAAGGTCAAAGCCTCATTCTGAACATAGATCACACGACTTTATAATATTGAGAACAAAATGTTTTTTTTTAGAAATTCGAGTCGATGTCAAGTGAAGTCATGCGCAATGCAGATTATCTAAACGTTTGAAATGGTTTACCAAATTGCTCGAAAAGTTGATTGTCAACTTAGTAAGTACAAAATCATTTTATATGATTGTTATGTTTTTGCATACTATACTTTGTAGTACTGTGTATATTTTGACCTTTTACGCTTTTAAACTTGTGCTTTCACATAAAGTTTCTTGTAATTTCTTTTCTTTGTGGTGTAATTAACTTTTCTGATCAATTTTATTAATTTGGGCGTTTTTAGGTGCAGACCAGAATTACAAGCAACTCTTGCCTAACCCAGTAACGCCCTTGAGGACATTGTGTAGCTTTCTTACAAGTTGGCATGTATCCTTGCAATTGGTTTAATTTGCTTCTAATTAACCCTAATGCGGACAAGGGGGTAGTTTTTTCACCGGTACTTACCATGAAATAATATTTTTCTGTAAGCCAGCCACGCCCATTCATGCACAATTCAATGCATATTAGAATATATTCAAATCATAAATATTCTAGAGGAACAAATGATGGACTGGAAGGACTGATTAACTTCATAGTTCATAAAAAAAACTTAATAAACAATATCATTGAAATAACAAGCCGATGCTTATGCAAGTCAAATGGTAAGTTTTGAAGGGATGTCAAGGTGATGCAATTGTTGTCAGTGTTGACCTAGTTAAACCATGCAGTTTATGTTTTTGGACTAGTTTATACTAAACAGGAGTGTTCAGTTACAATATTGTAGCGGGAGCACAATTTTTACTATTCATTTATATTCGTTCATTAATTACACATTAATACATTTTACTTTTAATATAACATTTATATGCGTTAAAAAGAGCAGAGTGACCCCTTTTTAATGGTTTTTACCCCGTGTAAATCAAATTAGTATTTTTTGAGTTATGACAATTTGAAAAACATGAGTAAACTGAGATTATTTCGTTTTGTCGGCATTGCAGTAATAAAATTTAGCGATCAATAATTTACTTAGAACCTGTATGGGTCACTTTGAAGTTTTCATAAGTTTGACAAGTTGACAGCTTGGGCTGGTCTCCGCCCACTTAATTTGCATATTTCTCGACTGATCGTAATATTTGTGAATGCTTTCCTTGGAAAGTCAGTCCTGAGTTTGTATCTGAAGAGATAGGAGGTTGATTTTTTACATTTTGAAAGTCTTAAGTTTGTATCTGAAAGGTGTAAGACGTTGTGAATATTTCTACATTTTGATAAAGTCTCAAGTTTAGCATTGTGCGAGCATTTCCCAGTGTTTGGATTATATTTCATTTGATCAGACAAGTGGATTTAATCATATAACCGGATTTATAATTGGATTATACGCTAATTTGGATTCTGCATTGTCATGTCAGCAAGGTAAATAAAGTTTATTGTTTTATTGTTATTAAATTAAGCTGATATAATTTGTTCAGTTATTCTTATACAGTAAATTACAATATCCATTAGTGGTCAATAAGATACAAATTCCTTTCACAC